GGACAGGGGTGTCAAACTGGATTACTCCTCCGTAGGCCGGCGGAGGGGAGGGGAGCGGGGAAGGGAGACGGGACAAACGCCTCCAGCAGCACTCTGCTGGACAAAAATGGGCCGCGCGGAAGCCCTGCGTGGTTCCTGTGAGGCCTGTTTTCGGCCTCTTCAGCCTCCGGCAGCACTCTGCTGGCCAAAAATGGGCCTTGGCGAGGCCAGGGAGGCCGAAAATGGGCCGCGCAGGGGCCTCACAAGGCCTCCGTGTGGCCCATTTTTGGCCGGCAGAGTGCTGCAGGAGGCTTTAAAGGCTGAAAACGGGCGACATGCACCCGCCCACAGCCCATTTTGGCCAGCAGAGGCACCGCGGGCCGATCCTTTGATATTTCCAGGCCGGCCCTGTGGGCCAGATTTAAGCACCCCGTCGGCCGGATCTGGCCCGTGGGCCTTGAGTTTGACACACCTGGTCAGGATTATACAGTGGGACTCTTTGGGGCACTGCAACCCCGGCCGGCCCCAAAGATTGCAAAGTCCTAGAATGAAAAGGCCTCAAACCCAAAGCCATCAACCTTTATCTGAAGCCCATCCAGATCCTCACAGCCTCCAAACTAGTGGTGAAATCTAAAATTTGTTACTACCGGTTCTGTGAGCGTGGCTTGGTGGGGGGGGGGGGGGGAGTAATGTGACTGGGTGGGCAGGGCCATTTTTTTTTTTTACTTTACTTTACTTATAAAACCATTTTTTCTACAACCTCTTCGGCGAAGAGGTTGTAAAAAAAATGCATTCAAAAGGCTCTGACGATCCCAGCTGAGTTGCCTGATCGGCAGAGGCTTTTTTTCTTTTAAATGCCTCTGACGATTAGGCAACTCAGCTTGGATCGTCAGAGGCATTTAAAAGAAAAAAAGGGTTGTTTTTCTTTTAAATACCTCTGATGATCCAAGCTGAATTGCCTGATCAGCAGAGGCTTTTTTTCTTTTAAAGCCTCTGACGATCCCAGCTGAGCCGAGCGATCATCAGAGGCTTTTTTTTTTTTACTTTTAAAAGCATTTTTTTTTGGCCCAAGAGGTTGTAGAAAAAATGCTTTTAAAAGTAAAAAAAAAAGCCTCTGATGATTGCATGGCGCAGCTGGGCATGTGGGGGGGGGGGAAATAGGGATTTTTGCTACCGGTTCTTGGAACCACCCGCCTCCATCGCTACTGGATCGGGCGATCCGGTCCGAACCAGGAGCATTTCACCCCTGCTCCAAATCCCGGGATAAGACAATAAGAGGGAATTCCTGAATTGGTCAGGAGCAGAAACACATCACTGGGTATCATCAGAATGCAGGCAAGACTTACAACTATTTGTTTAGTGACCGTCCGAAGTTACAACGGCATTGAAAAAAAGTGACTCAGAGTCAGGACCATTTTTCACACTTAACGACTGTTGCAGCGTCCGCTTGGTCACGTGATCAAAATTCTGACGCTTGGCAACTGACTCGTATTTATGACAGTCGCAGTGTCCCAGGGTTACACGATCCCCCTTTTGCGACTCTCTGACAAGCAAAGTCAAGGGGGAAGCCGGATTCACTTAACGGCCTGATTTCTAGCTTAACAATGGCAGAAATTCACTTAACAACCGTGGTGAGCAAGGTCGTAAAATGGGGACAAAACTCACTTAACAACTGTCTCGCTTAGCAACAGATTGGTGGTTTATTTAAAAACAGTTCAACTCCTGGCAGAGGGACTCTGGGCAGGAAAGAGTAAGATATGAAAAGCGTAAAATGAGTTAATTCAAATTTAAAAAGCAGCAGGGAAGCTGAGCATGAATGAAAGGGCAGGCGGGGAAGGCTTCCAAGACCCTAACCAAGCCCCCTGCCCCAAATAAGGCTGCCTTGCGGACCGACCCCCTCCCCTAATTGCTTGCACCCAGTTTTCTCCCCCAATTTCAGAGCACGGGGAGCCTTCCTTCAAGCAAACTCCGGAGCGGAACCGAGAGGGGGGCTTCCCTGGTCCGAGGGAAGGGCGAGGCCAAAGGGGTCCTGGGCCAAGCGGGGCGGATCGAGTTCCTCCTCCTGCAGGACCGGCGCCAGAGTCCCGCTGGCCAGCAGGGAAGGCGGCGGGCGGGGAGGGGAGGGAGCCCGGAGAGCCCAGGAGGGGCTCCTGCCAAGGATTAACAGAGTTGGAGGAAGGGACCTTGGAGGTCATCTAGTCCAACCCACCCGCCCAAGCAGGAGACCGGGCGGCTCCGGGCAAGGCAAGTGTTGCAGCGAAGGCGGAGTGTGTGTGTGTGTGTGTCTGTGTGTGGGAATCTCTCTCTTCGTGTGTGTGTGTGTGTGTGTGTGTGTTTGTGAGTGTGTGTCTCTGTTTCTCGCTCTGTGTGTGTGTGTGTGTGTGTGTGTGTGGCTGTCACTCTGTGTTTGTGTAACTGTGTGTCTCTCTCTGAGTGTGTCTTTGTGTGTGTGAATCTATGTGTACCTGTGTGTCTCTGTCTTTCTCTCTTTGTGTGTGTGTGTGTGTGTCGATGTGTGTATATTTGGCTGTCACTCTGTTTGTGTGACTGTGTGTATCTGTCTCTCTCTCATTCACTGTTTGTCTGTGGGAATCTCTCTTTGTGTGTGTGTGTGTTTGTGAGTCTGTGTGTTTCTGTTTCTCTCGCTCTGTGTGTGTGTGTGTGTGTGGCTGTCACTCTGTGTTTGTGTAACTGTGTGTCTCTCTCTTTCTGAGTGTGTCTTTGTGTATATGTGTGTGAAGCTGTGTGTACCTGTCTTTCTCTCTTTTTGTGTGTGTCTGTGTGTCGATGTGTGTGTGTTTGGCTGTCACTCTGTTTGTGTGACTGTGTGTATCGTCTCTCTCTCTCTCACACTGTGTGTTTGTGTGTCTGTGTGTGGGAATCTCTCTCTTTGTGTGTATGTGTGTGTTTGTGAGTCTGTGTGTCTCTGTTTTTCTCTCTGTCTGTGTGTGTGTGGGGGGGGGCTGTCACTCTGTATTTGTGTAACTGTGTACCTCTCTCTTTCTGAGTGTGTCTTTGTGTAATGTGTGTGAAGCTGTGTGTACCTGTGTGTCTCTGTCTTTCTCTCTCTTTTTGTGTGTGTGTGTGTGTCGATGTGTGTGTGTTTGGCTGTCACTCTGTTTGTGTGACTGTGTGTATCGTCTCTCTCTCACACTGTGTGTTTGTGTGTCTGTGTGTGGGAATCTCTCTCTTTGTGTGTATGTGTGTTTGTGAGTCTGTGTGTCTCTGTTTGTCTCTCTGTCTGTGTGTGTGTGGGGGGGGCTGTCACTCTGTATTTGTGTAACTGTGTACCTCTCTCTTTCTGAGTGTGTCTTTGTGTAATGTGTGTGAAGCTGTGTGTACCTGTGTGTCTCTGTCTTTCTCTCTCTTTTTGTGTGTGTGTGTGTGTCGATGTGTGTGTGTTTGGCTGTCACTCTGTTTGTGTGACTGTGTGTATCGTCTCTCTCTCACACTGTGTGTTTGTGTGTCTCTGTGTGTGGGAATCTCTCTCTTTGTGTGTATGTGTGTTTGTGAGTCTGTGTGTCTCTGTTTGTCTCTCTGTCTGTGTGTGTGGGGGGGGGGCTGTCACTCTGTGTTTGTGTAACTGTGTGTCTCTCTCTTTCTGAGTGTGTCTTTGTGTATATGTGTGTGAAGCTGTGTGTACCTGTCTTTCTCTCTCTTTGCGTGTGTGTGTGTGTGTGTTTGGCTGTCACTCTGTTTGTGTTTGACTGTGTGTCTCTGTCTCTCTCTCTCTCACTTGTGTGGTTGTGTGTCTGTGTGTGTGGAGGGGACACAACCCCCCCCCTTTTCGAGACCCTCCCGGAGAAAAAGCGGCTCCCGGTTGACTTTGGGAAGCGGCGCAACTTCCCTCCTCCGGTCCCCCGGGCTCCCCGCAGCCCCCCAGCCCAGCCCAGCCCGGCCCCTCCGCCTCCCCTCCGGCCCCGCCTGGGAAATGCCCGGGCAGCGCGGACCGCTCCGGAGCCCTCCGCCCACCTGCAGCTCTGCGGCGGCCGCTCACTCACCTGGCTGGGGCGCCCTTGCTGGCGGCCGCAGGTGAGCGGGGCTCCGGCTTGTTTACCCGCGGCCGGAGCCGGAGCTGGTCCAGGCGAGGCGGAGGACGAGGAGGCGGAGGCGGCTGCAGGCGGGGCCGCAGCGGGACCCTCCCCAGCTCGGCCAAGGGGCGCTCGCGGGCCCGGGAGGCAGGGGCGGCGGGGGGGGGGGGGGGGGGGGGGGCTCGGAGGCGCTGCAGGCGGGGCTGCTCTTCAGGTGCGAGAGGCGCGGAGGTGGGGGGGGAGGGAGGGAGGGAAGGAAAAGGACTCTGGGAGTTGTAGTTCGCGGCGGGGGGGGGGGGGGGGCCCCGGGGGCCCCCGACCCCGCCCGCCCCCCCGAGCCCCCCTCTCCCCCCCCCCCCGATGCGGAGCCTCCAGAGGCAGGAGCAGTCTACCTGGCGCCGGCAGGGCAGGAAAAGCTCAACGGATCTCGCCCTGCCGGGAACTCGGGGGTTTGCTTTTCGTGCTCCTTCTGCCCGCAACTCAGCTGCCGCCGGCCGAGACCGCCGCCCTCTCCCTCCCCCCCCCCGCCCCCGATGCGGAGCCTCCAGAGGCAGGAGCAGTCTACCTGGCGCCGGCAGGGCAGGAAAAGCTTCACTCGCAAGGGCTTACCTTGCCCAGCCGGGAAAACCTGGGGCTTCCTTTCCAGCACCCTCTACCCGACTGGGGATGGGGAACGGGGGGACGGGGGGGTGTCCCCCAAAAAGGCGCCTGTGAAAGCCGTCCTGAAAGTGGGGCGCCTCTCCCCAGCTTTTGAGAGAAGCAAGAGCCCCTCCAGCGGGTCCGGTCCAAGCTTGAACGATCCAAAGGTTCAAACCCAGTTTGTCTACATACCTCCCCGCCAGGTAATTGCATCCGATTCGCTGTATTTGCCCCCCTCCCCTCCAAAATCAATCAATCAATCAATCAATCCCGGATTAATTAATGCAATCCCGAGGTGATCCAAACACTCGGAGGTTTGGAGATCCACCCGAGGCATCGTTGCAAGCTTACCCGCCTTTTATGGCCTCCCGGCCCGTGTTCACTTCACACGTGCTAAAGAAACTTCGGGTCACCCAGGGTCGTCTGAATGCCGCTTGAACTTTTCCCGGGTGAGTCGAGGACCGAGGTTTGTCGGTTGCAAAAAGTAGGTAAAATGTCCCTCTCCGAAGAGGAAATGGCCGTGTGTGGCTTGCGGGGAGATTGGGCGGGTGGAGTTGTGCAATGTGGAAATCCAAAAAAAAAAAAGAAAAAAAAAGAAAGAGAAAGAGGGAGGGAGGGAGGAAGGAAGGAAGAATAAAGGGAGGGAGGAAGGAAAGAGGGAAGGAGGGAGAGAGAGAGGTAGAGAGAGAAAGAAAGAAAAAGAAAGAAAGAAAGAAAGAAAAGAAAGAAAAAGAAAAAAGAAAAGAAAAAAAAGAAAAGAAAAAAAAAAGAAAAGGAAGGAAATAAAGAAAGAAAGAAGGAGTTAAAATGTCATCAACTCTAAAAGTGGATTATTTAAGGCAGGAATATCCAACCTAAGCAACTTTTAAGAACTGTGGAGGGAGGGAGGGAGGGAGGGAGAAAGAAAGAAAGAAAGAAAGAGAAAGAAAGAAGGAAAGAAAGAAGGAGTTAAAATGTCATCAGCCCTAAAAGTGGATTATTTAAGGCAGTGGCCCTAAAAGTGGATTATTTAAGGCAGGAATGTCCAACCTAAGCAACTTTTAAGACCTGTGGAGGGAGGGAGGGAGGGAGAAAGAAAGAAAAGAAAGAAAGAAAGAAAGAAAGAAATAAAGAAAGAAAGAAAGAAAGAAAGACCAAAAAGGAGTTAAAATGTCATCAGCCCTAAAAGTGGATTATTTAAGGCAGGAATGTCCAACCTAAGCAACTTTTAAGACCTGTGGAGGGAGGGAGGGAGGGAGAAAGAAAGAAAAGAAAGAAAGAAAGAAAAAAAGAAAGAAAGAAAGAAAGACCAAAAAGGAGTTAAAATGTCATCAGCCCTAAAAGTGGATTATTTAAGGCAGGAATGTCCAACCTAAGCAACTTTTAAGACCTGTGGATTCTGGGAGTTGAAGTCCACAGGTCTTAAAATAGCCAAAGTTGGATACCTCTGATTTAAAGCGTTTTTATTAATTGCCCTGTTGGAAGAAATGTCCAGGTCCAATTTGGGAGAGAGACGCTGGAAACAACATGGGGGCTGATTGTAAAGATGGTTTATTGAACAGAACCATAGAGACAGTGTGCAGTTCTGGGTCAGCTGAGCAAATGTTTGAATGAGCGAATGGCTCTTTATAGGTTTCTGTGACTTTGAACTCTGAACTGTCCCGGGGATTGTGCAACGAAGGGGGCTTGTGTTGGCTTTCGTCCTGTGCTGGATTTTGGGTGTTCTAAACTAATTCTGCCAAAGAGTTTTGAAATATCCTGTCTTGAATGGATTTCTGTCTGTAGTCTTTGCTTTGCTTATGAATAGAGCCATCTGGAGAGTTGGCTTCCTCTTTCAATGAGCTCTTTATCTCTTTAAGTGGTGGGCTATTAAGGACTTGGGGGCTGCTTTCTGCCTCTAAAAACACGTTTCTCCATTTCTCCTTCAGGGAAATATAATATTCTGCTTTTTTAATAGTTCCCAAAATATTTCATTCTTCTAGGAGGAGGGGGTGAGCTTTTCACAGCCCCATTCCAGGAAGTCCCTGTCTGATTATTATTTTTTTTAAAAAAAGAACAAAACCAGTAACCAAAATCCATGAATAAAGGGCAACGATTGCTCAGAATAAATCAGATTTAAAGACATGCAGGAATAATAGAGTTTAAATGGGCCAGGTATGCATTGGGGGAGAGCCTTTTCCAAAGCATGTGGGGGGGCACAGAGGCGGCCTGTTACTTTCCCACTATCCTGTGAGTAGCTGCCTTCCTTGTCTTCTCTTTGAACTTTTTTCTCCAGGGTTAGCCCAGTGGAGTTACCTATAAAGGTGCAACCTGGATACAGGTAAAGGAGAACGGTAGATTATGTCTGTTTTGGAAACTGTGCAGCCGGCAGAAAATAGAGAAAGCAGCCCAATAAAAAGTGTTTTTCCCTGCACAGGAAAAACCATGATCCAGAGGAACGAATGAATGAATGAGCTGAAAGGGGCCTTAGAGGTCATCTAGTCCAGCCCCCCTGCTCAAGCAGAAGGGTTGCCCAACTTTGGCAACTTGAAGACACGTGGACTCCAACTCCCAGAAACCCCCCCGTTCGCTCATCTTAAAACATGTTGGCTAGGGAATTCTGGGAATTGAAGTCCATATTTCATAAAGCTTGGTGAGTGGGTGATTCTGTGAGCCGAAGGCCAAATATCTTAAAGCTTGCTGGCTGGGGAATTCTGGGAACTGAAGCCCATGTGTCTTAGCATTGCCAAGGGTGGAAAACGCTGGTCCAGAGGCAAACAAAGATGCAAAGGAAAAAGCAGATTGAGGGGAAGGAAACAAAGCTACCTGTGAGAGCCACCATGGTGCCAGGGATATGGGTGCTTCTAAAAATGGCAGCTTCCCAGCCCACCTGCAGCTTAGGAAAAACTTCAGACTTCACTAAAGTCTGTGCCGGGAACTGGAGAAGTGGAAGATAGACGTAGAATGTCAGTTTGGTCTTGGTATTAAGGTACCTGGCTAAAAAGCAGGAGACAGGAAGTTCTAGTCCTGCCTTAGCCATGATGGCCAGCTGGGTGATTTTGGACGGACCAATTACCAGGAGATGGTGAGTTCTAGTCCTGCCTTAGGCATGAAGGTCAGTTGGGTGACTTCAGGCCAACCACCAGCAGACTCTGAGTTCTAGTGCCGCCTCAGTCATGAAATCCAGCTGTGTGACTTTCAGGCAATCACCAGGAGATAGTGAGTTATTTATTAAAAAAATGATAATAAAGGTGCCATGCAAATAAATGAAAAAGAAAGAAAGAGAGAGAGAGAGAGAGAGAGAAAGAGAAAGAAAAAGAAAGAAAGAAAGAGAAAGAAAGGAAAGGAGGGAGGGAGGGGAAGGAAGGAGGAAAGAGAGAAAAAAAAAGAAAGTAAAAGAGGGAGGGAGAGAGGAAGGGAAGAAAAAAAGGAAGGAAGAAAAGAAAAAAGAGGGAGGGAGGGAAGAAAGGAAGAAAAGAAATTTTTTAAGTGTTTTTAAGTGTTTTGTTTATTGTTTTTAATTAATGGGGCCAAATTTATATATGTATATTTTAACTGTATTTTAATATTTGTACTTGATGTTTTTACTTGGCTGTTCACCGCCCTGAGTCCTCAGGGAGAAGGGCGGTATACAAATTCAAATAAATAAATAAATAAAGGAAAGAAAGAAAAAAGGAAGGAAGAAAAGAAAAAGAAAAAAAGGGAGGGAAGAAAGAAAGAAAGAAAGAAAGGAAGGAAGGAAGGGAGAAAAGAAAAAAGGAGGGAGGGAAGAAAGAAAGGAAGAAAAGAAAAAAAAGGGAGGGAGGGAAGAAAGAGAGAAAGAAAAAGAAAAAAAGAAGGAAGGGAGGGAGAAGAAAGAAAAAAGAAAGGGAGGGAGGGAAGAAAGAAAGGAAAAGAAAAGAAAAGAGAAAAAGAAGAAAGAGAAAGAAAGAAAGAAAAAGAGAAAGGAAGGAAGAAGGCAGGTTTATCTTGATTCCTCAACTACTTTTCATAAACAAACCATTTCATTTTAAATGCACGCACATGTGCCCACGCATACACACACGTGCACCCAAGAGTGTCTGGCAAACCTCATCCATCCGATCGAAGATTTGCCTTAACAAAAACAACTCCATGGTTTTCATGCCTGGCTCTTGGCATTTTCCACGCGCTGGTCCTGGGATGTGCGCGCTGAACTTTATTCATATGTTAGCAAACCCTTGATTTTTTCCCCACCAGGATTCAGGGTTTGCCAAGAACATCTGTTCTAGGATGTGGTGGGAGCTGCTGCTGCTGCTGCTAAGGACACAGTTGATAGCAGTTTTGCAGGATCAAGTAGGAGGGGGGAGAGCTGCCTTCGTTCACGGTAGCCCAAAATCAGAAAAGCCAAGCTGGGGCCTCTTAAAAATAAAACCGCACTTAGTCAGGGAAGGCGCCTTCTGATTGACAGCCAGGGTGTTTATTAATACCCTATGGCAGTGATGGCGAACCTTTTGGCCTTCACGTGCCAAAAGCGGGGGCAGCACGGGGGGTTTGCACGTGTCCGTGCCCACACCCATAATTCAATGTGCCCTGCCCCCCCCGCCTCCCCCTGCTTTTGGCACGCGATGGCACGGTGAGCCTGGGGAGGGCGAAAACTGCCTTCCCCACCTCCCTGGAGGCCCTCCGGAGGCTGGGAACAACCTGTTTCTCAACTTCCGGTAGCCCGGAAGGCCTGTTTTTCGTCCTCCCCAGGCTCCAGAGGCTTTCTAGGAGCCTGGGGAGGGCGAAAACTGCCTTCCCCACCTCCCTGGAGGCCCTCCGGAGGCTGGAAACGACCTGTTTCTCGACTTCCGGTAGCCCGGAAGGCCTGTTTTTCGTCCTCCCCAGGCTCCAGAGGCTTTCTAGGAGCCTGGGGAGGGCGAAAACTGCCTTCCCCACCTCCCTGGAGGCCCTCCGGAGGCTGGAAACGACCTGTTTCTCGACTTCTGGAGGGCCCAGAAGGGCAGAAAATCATGCATGCTGGAGCTGAGCTAGGGCAATGTTCGCATGCCCACAGATATGGCTCTGTGTGCCACCTGTGGCACGGGTGCCATAAGTTCGCCATCACGGCCCTCTGGGTTGCAAGTGTTATTTAGAAGAGCCTTGGTGGCACAGCAGACTAAAGTGCTGTTAAGTAGCACGAGCTGCCTGCAATTACTGCGAGTTCGAATCTCATCAGGCTCAAGGTTGACTCAGCCTTCCATCCTTTCAAGGTAGGTAAAATGAGGACCCGGTTTGTGGGGGCAATAAGCTGATTTTGTATAAAAAAAGAACACCGCTTGGGGTGGGGAGCGAAAGCCCTACTAAGCAGGTATATACAAAAGTATGAAGGCTATTGCTTAACGCATTGTAAGCTGCCCTGAGTCTCCGGAGAAGGGTGGCATATAAATCGAACCAATAAATAAATAAATAAATAAATAAATAAATAAATAAATAAATAAATAAATAAATAATAAACAAACAAACAAACAAACAACAAATAAATAAATAAAATTTGGGTAGGGGTTTTTAATCCCCTGTTTACATTCAGGCTTTGACCGAAGCCTCAAAGCCCTTGCAAGAAGAAATAAAGCAAACAATAATTGCACTTAAACAAGTAAATAAGCAGGCAAGCCAGCCCTTCATTTCTCAGCCCTTGGAAGGAAGGCCAAATTGCGAAACCACTTCCCAAAACAACTTTGCCAAGAAAACTGCGGAGGCCATTGCCAGGAGTCAACACTGACTGGAAGGCACTAAAAAAACCACACACATACACACAAAAAGTGCTTGTGTTTGTGTGTGTGCAGTGCTCTTTTTATAATCCTCTTAGATCTTTCATGACCCTGAAGGTGGCTTGATGGGGAGATCGTCTTGCATAGATTGCTACACGCATCAAAAGCTTTTCCTTACACACAAACACACAGAAACACCCTGCCGAGTCCTCTGAACCGCCCTTCCTTCCGTGCTGTGTTTTTAACAACCTTTAGACCAACCCGTTTCGTTTCCAACCGTCTTTATGGCTTTTATCAGTGTGCGTTAAGTAGATTTTTTTTTTTTCTTTTATCGGGTCCTGAAATTGCAATCTCTTTATGACCTCCTATCGTGCCTCGAGAGTTGCATTTCTTTAGGGCCTGTTTTAAAGATAAAGAGGGTTTTTAAGGGGAAAAAAATAAACAGGGAAAACAAACAGAGAGAGAGAGGGGCAATTCACGATTTTCCAACTGTCTCTAAACCTTAAAAACAGGGATTAAGTGGTGTTCTGGGGCTCCGAGATGCAAAATCCCACTTAAATTGCATCCTGTTTTCCAAGAGGTGAAGGCCAGGGTGGGTCCTGGGAGAGGAGAGCCCCCACCCCATCCCGCTTGCTAGAAAAAGACTTTTCAACAGAAGAGAATCTTTGTAGCTCAGGCTTGAAGTGGGGACCTTGCTGCTCTGTGAGCTTCAAGACGTTTCATGACCCAGCTAGGTAACATCATCAGTGCTAGAAAGGAGTGGGGGTTGGCAGAGAGGAGGAGGAGGAAGGACTATGGAGTCTTTGGTATTCTCTGAGCTTGGTTGTTTTTCTTGCAGACGTTTCATGACCCAACTAGGTAATATCATCAGTACTGGAAGGGAATGGGGTTGGCAGAGAAGAGGAGGAGGAGGAGGAGGAGATAGAGGGAGGACTATGGATTCCTTGGGACTCTAAGCTTGGTTGTTTTTCTTGCAGACGTTTCATGACCCAACTAGGTAATATCATCAGTTCTGGAAGGGAATGATGGAGGAGGAGGAGGAGGAGGAGGAGGAAGGACTATGGATTCCTTGCTACTCTCTGAGCTTGGTTGTTTTCTTGCAGACATTTCATGACCCAACTAGTTGTTAAGTCGTGCTTGTTCCTTGATTGAATTATTGTCAGATAAGACAACAGTCCAATCAAGGAACCAACGGGAATACTCTCACCAAAGCTGATAGAGCAAACCCCTTGTACATAAACAGAGAGCAATCCCCACTCTCTTCTAGGACTGATGGTATTATTTAGTTGGGTCATGAAACGTCTGCAAGAAAAGCACCAAGCTCAGGGAGCCCACATAAAACACGTTTCTTTGGTTAGAGGGCCTTTTTGGTGATGGTGTCGGTGGGGAAAGGAGAATTCAACCAAGCCCACGGCATAATTCGTCACCAGTGGCACTTTTTAATGGCAGTCTCTCTCGACTCTCTTAATACCAACATGGCGGAGTGGGATAAGCCTCTGAAACAAACTCAGGATGAATTATATAGCTGTCCCTCTCCGGCCCTCCAGACCTCTTAAAATGACTCGTGTCCCACCTGCAAGGAGAGAAAAGAGAATTAGCAGAAAACATCTCCAAACCTCCATCACGCCAGGACATTCCAACATTCTTGACTCCGAGGGATCTAAGTCATCAGAATCACAGAATTGGAAGGGACCTCAGAGGTCTTCTAGTCCAACCCCCTGCTCAGGCACCAAACCGTCCACCATTTCAGACAAACGGTTGTCCAATCTCTTCTTTAAAATCCTCCAGTGATGGAGCACCCACAGTTTCTGGAGGCAAGCCATTCCAGTGATTAATTAACAGAATAACAGAGTTGGAAGGGACCTTGGAGGTCTTCTAGTCCAGCCCCCTGCCCAAGCAGGAGACCCTGTCATTTCAGACAAGTGGCTGTCCAGTCTCTTCTTAGAAACCTCCAGTGATGGAGCACCCACAACTTCTGGTGGCAAGCTGTTCCACTGGTTAATTGGCCTCCCTGCCAGGAAGTTTCTCCTTAATTCTCTCCTTGATTACTTTCCGTCCATTGTTTCTTGTCCAGCTCCACGCGCGTGTTTTGAATGCCCGGTGCTTGTGCAAATGGAGCTGCGTGTGTGTGTATGCGCCTGCCCCCCCCCCACACAAACATTTCCTCCCCCCCCCGGCCAGTTGGGGACCACTGCATTTAATTACATAGGGCAGGTTTTTTTCAATGTTTGGATTTCCTTACTTAAGGTTCATATACGGGAAATATGGCGGCAGGCTTGGCAATCGTGCACTGAGCATCATATCCTCCTGGTGGTCGTAGTATGGGAAACTCCTGGAAGACAAGAGGAGGGAGAGAGCATCATTAGAAGCGTCACTAGACTAGACACAGTGCTGCGTACTCCGCTGGGAGCCACTGCTCAAGCAGGAGACGCCCTATACCATTTCAGACAAGTGACTGTCCTATATCTTCTCAAAACCCTCCAGTGATGGAGCATCTACTGCTTCTGGTGGCAAGCTGTTCCGCTGGTTAATTGTTCTCACCGATAGGAAATTTCTCCTTAGTTCCAAGTTGCTTCACTCCTTGGTTAGTTTGCTAGCTATCCAGCTAGTTAGTTGGTTATTTACCATAGTTAGTTAAGAATCTCATTAGTGCTTTGCCAACTGGTATCTTTTCAATCAATCCATCAGAATAGAGCTGGAAGGGACCTTGGAGGTCTTCTAGTCCAACCCCTTGCTCAAGCAAGAGACCCTCTACCATTTCAGACAAGTGACTGTCCAATCTCTTCTCAGAAACCTCCAGTGATGGAGCAGCCACAACTTCTGGTGGCAAGCGGTTCCTGTTAAGGATATTCTTGGCTCATAATGGGTTATTGAGCAGAGTACCCCTTGAGTATGTACATGAAAGCGGTGAGAGTGAATAACCACAGTTAATATACTGACACACTGAGTTGTGGTAGTCTTCTACTTTTTAGAAAAAAGTAAAGCCAAGTCCAATAACAATCCAAGTCATACACAGCTAAGGCGATAGTTAAAAGGGGTATTCAGGGATATTCAGGGATATTCCAAGTACAAGGTCTTCTTACCAGTTGTTGTCATTACACAATAAAACAGTTCTTCTTGAGTTTCAAACAGGACCAAGTTCAGTATTAAAACATTCAATAAATAGTAGAAAGCAACAAGTAGCAGTGATCGAACAGTGATCATACAGAGGGAACAGGTAGAAAATAACAGCCAATAAGCAGATAAAATGGTGTGTCCACAAGCCATGATTCAAGTTTCCCTTTAAGTACATTGGCTACAGAGCTTAGCCAATCAGGATACAGGATGATGCAATACAGTCTTAAAGCAATAAAATACCTTTTGACAAACATGTATTGATAGTTTATATATTGCCTGACCAACTAGTTAGACAATAGCCATTTCCTGACAGTTCCACTGTCCCATGGAACTAGCTGTGAATCTTTGAAGTGGGCACAAAGCTGTGCCAACTATTTCCAGTTGCCTCTTGGGAAAAAAAGCCCCAGGACCTGGATGTCTGAGAACCTCCGTAGACATACGAAGCCGTGTTTTGCAACTCCAGGGCCAGATGGTGACTTTTGAGGGCCCCATACATTTTTGCCTTTGTGGGGCCCCTCCCACTATATATAAAAAAGCATGAATCAAGATACAGGTAGCCCTCGACTTATGACCACAATCGACCCCAACATTTCTGTCGTTAGGTAAGACATTTGTTAAGTGAGCTTTGCCTCATTTTACGACTTTTCTTGGCGCAGTTATTAAGCGAATCACTGCAGTTGTTAAGTGAGTCACATGGTCGTTATGTGAATCTGGCTTCCCCGTGGACTTTGCTTGTCAGAAGGTCGCCAAAGGGGATCACGTGGCCCTGGGACACAGCCACAGTCATAAGTATGAACCAGTTGCCGAGCATCTGAATTTGGATCACAGGATCATGGGGATGCTACAAAGGTCGTAAGTGTGAAAAATGGTCATAAGTCCCTCTTTCCAGGGCCGTTATAACTTTGAGTGGTCAGTTAATGAACTGTTGTAAATTGAGGACGACCTATCAACAGAGTTGCTGTCTCTCCCACATCACATTTTCCTATTTTACCAAGAAGTCGGTTGTGGTCTACTTTATCGAATGCCTTCCTGAAGTATTGCTGAATCTTGTCACGCTCCCAAAAACTGACTGACAAGATGGCATTCCGCCTTCTTCCCAGAATGTCAGAATATCTAATCCCTTTATGGCCATTCTAGTATTTCCTTCCTCTGGTCCCGTCCTTGGTAAGGCATGTCCAGCTTAGACAGGCACGATAACAGACTTTGGAACCGATGGGCTAGCTGACAGAGTTAACTTATCAGCTCTGAAATGTAGACTTTGAAGTTAATTTTTAATTTAACCTACATTTTTGAACTTAGGGACAAGCTAAACACAGAGAATGTCCACCTGTTTCTGTGGCATTGATGAAAAGAAAATTGACATTTGTATGTTTAAGTCCCCACTGATGGGTTTTTTCCCCTCAAGTACTAATGCAAGTCATTCTCTCTCTCTCTCTCCCCATCTCTCTCTTTCTCTCTACCCATTTCTTTCTCTCTCTCTCCATCTCTCTCCATCTTTGCCTCTCTCTTTCTCTCAATTTCTCTGTCTCTCTCTTTCTCACTCCATCTCTTTCTCTCTCTATCCGTCTCTCTCTGTGTCTCTACATCTCTCTCTTTCCATTTTTCTTTCTCTTTCCATCTCTTTTTCTCTCTCTCCATCTCTCTCTGTCTCTGTCTCTCTCTTTTTTCTCCCTCTGTCTGTGTCTCTGTCTATCTCCATCTTTCTGCCCCTCTCTTTGTCTCTCCCCCATCTCTCTCTCGCTCTCCCCCCATCTTGCAGTCTCCCTCTCGCTCTCGCTCTCCATCTTTGATTCTCTCTCCCCATCTCTCTCTTGATCCGTCTCTCTCTCTTTCTCCATCTGTCTCCCCCCTCTCTCTCTACATCTCTCTCTCTCTAGTTCCATCTCTCTCTTTCCCCTTCTATCTGTCTTTCCATCTCTCTTTCTCTCCATCTCCCTGTCCCTGTCCTCTCTCTCTCTTTTTTTCTCTCCCTCTCCCTCCCTCTCTCTTTCTGTTTCCATCCCCCCACCCTCTCTGTAGGGGGAAAGACGACATTATACAGCCCTGTTCTTCAATCTTCGCAAATTCCAAGATGGGTGGACTTCAATTCCCAAAATCCCCCAGCCAACATGATCCTAATGAAATCTCCGACCTACTGCATTAATATTCTAGTTAAAATACAAATGGTTGCTATTTAGCCATTAAAATTATGGATTCACTCCTGAAGCTTCTTTTGCCTCCATGTGGACGTTCTCCTAAAACCTTTGATGGGTCAACTGGCATCTGGAGATGGAAACCGTAACCATTGCGATGAACCATTTTACAAAATTTGCTTATGAAGCAACTTAGAAGATTCAATGCACCACCACTCCCCCCTCCCCCCCCCTCTCCCCCTCCTCCTCCTCTTCCCCCAACCCTCAAATGGGGAAAAAACCATCAGAAGAAGCTCTCATCCCAGGAAGAACTGGCTATTTGAAATCCGGGCTTCTGTAGCAGGAATTTTCTCCCCCTTCCGTCAATGGAAGTACAATGCTGACCCCCACTGTCCGTGAAAACATTTTCAGGCAGTGGGACGAAAAATAATTCTGAAGAAAGAAGACCAGGAGGACTGGTGGTGCTCTGGACCAGCATTTCTCAACCTCAGCAACTTTAAGATGGGTGGACATCAACCTAGAAGTCTTCAGCCAGCATGTTTTAAGAGTGGTGGACTTCAAGTCCCAGAATTCCCCAGCCAGCATGCTTTAAGATGGGTGGATTTTACTGAGGGACTTCAAGTCCCAGAATTCCCCAGCCTGCATGCTTTAAGATGGGTGGATTTTAATTCCCAGAATTCCCCAGCCTGCATGATTTAAGACTGAGGGACTTCAAGTCCCAGAATTCCCCAGCCTGCATGCTTTAAGATGGGTGGATTTTAATTCCCAGAGTTCCCCAGCCTGCATGATTTAAGACTGATGGGCCTCAAGTCCCAGAATTCCCCAGCCAGCATGCTTTAAGATAGGTAGATTTTACTGATGGACTTCAAGTCCCAGAATTCTACTGAGTCAACTCCCAGAATTCCCCAGCCAGCATGCCTTAACATGAGTGGACTTCAACTCCCAGAATTCCCCAGCCAGCATGCCTTAACATGTCCCAGAATTCCCCAGCCAGCACGTCTGTCCGTCATAACATTGCTGAAGTCAAGAAAAAACTGCCCTGGGACCTTAAAGACCGGGTCTCCAAACTTGGCAGCTTTAAGACTTGTGGACTTCAACTCCCAGAATTCCTCAGCCAGCATGATCAAGTCTGGAGACCCCTGTCTTTGGAGGACACCTCAAGAAGATCAAGAGAGAACTTCACCAAAGTTGGTTGCTCTCCAGCTTGAAGTCTCCACGTTAAGGACCCTAACTCCAACTCCAGGGTGGCATCCTGCCTCGACCCCAGGAAACCTATATCTTGTGCCCCGACTGGTCTGTCTGAGCCCCTGAGCCCACCCCCAAAAGACCCCCCCAGGAGGAGTTGGAGGAAGAGAGGCTGCAGGACCAAACCCTCCGAACCTTACAATCTTCTCAACTAGCTGGCTGATCTGCCTCTCGGTAGAGGGGGCTCCGTCCACGTAGTAGTCCATTCCACGCAAGCAGTAATGGCGGCCGGTGCAAGGACTGTAGTAGCCTTGGTAGGGCATCCGGCCCGGGATGGAGTATTGATGCTGGACGTACGGAAGCTGCTTCCGAGACAAGCTGTTCAACATGTTGACCACGACTTCCCGTTCTGGAGAAAAGAGGTCAGAAAGAGAGGACGGCTAGAGGGCAGAGCTGAGAGATGCTCGGTCCATCGGCAGCGGGTTCAAGAACCAACCTGGAATTAAGGAGGAACTTCCTAACAGTGAGGACAATTAACCGGTGGAACCGCTTGCCACCAGAAGTTGGGGGCGCTTCATCACTGGAGGTTTTTAAGAAGAGACTGAACTGTCAGGTGTCTCAAATGGCACAGGCTGGGTCTCCTGCTAGAGCAGGGGGTTGGACTAGAAGACCTCCAAGGCCCCATTCCAGTTCTATTCTGATCGATTGACTCAGGAAGCACCCCTTCTCGGAATGCAGAATTGGAGAACTCAACATTCAGAATAACAGGACAACAGAGTTGGAAGGGACCTTGGAGGTCTTCTAGTCCAACCCCCTGCTCAAGGAGGAAACCCTCTATCCGTGAGGGCGAACCTATGGCACGCGTGCCACAGGTGGCACGCGGAGCCATATCTGTGGGCACGCGAGCGTTGCCCTAGCTCAGCTCCAGCGCACATGCACAGGCTGGCCAGCTGATTTTCGGGCCTTCCGGGCCCACTGGAAGTCAGGAAACAGGCTGTTTCTGGCCTCTGGAGGGCCCCTTGGGGGTGGGGAAGGCTGTTTTCACCCTCCCCAGGCTCCTAGAAAGCCCCTGGAGCCTGGGGAGGATGAAAAACAGGCCTACCGGGCCGACCATGCCATCGCATGCCGAAAGCAGGGGGAGCACGGGGGGGGGGGCACATGTGCATGCGTGCGGGGGGGTGGGACGCATTGAATTATGGGTGTGGGCACACACGCGCACGACACCCCCCCCCCGTGTTCCCCCCACTTTTGGCACGCGACGGCAAAAAGTTTAGCCATCACTGCCCTATATCATTTCAGGCAAATGGTTGTCCAGTCTCTTCTTATGAACCTCCAGTGATGGAGCATCCACAACCTCTGGTGGCAAGCTGTTCCACCGGCTAATTCTTCTCACTGTCAAGAATTCCAAGTGGCTTCTCTCCTTGATTAGTTTCCATCCGTTGTTTCTTGTCCAGCCTTCAGGTGCTTTGGAGAATAGATGGACCCCCTCTTCTTTGGGGCAACCCCCTAAACTAGACATACCAAATTCTTGCAGCTGTTCTTCATATATTTTAGCCTCCTATCCCCTAAAATTCACCAAATCTGAAGGCTCAGGACTTCACAACTACTGTATGTTTTCAGATTGCCAATAAAGGAGAATATTTATAGCTGAGGGTTGAAAAGGAGGAGAGGGGAATGGGATGGGGATGGGGAGGAGGATTGTGTTCTGTCCCCGTCTCACACACGCACACAAACAGATAGCCAGGGGTTAAATAAAACTGGCAGACAACAAATTATTTCGATAAGAGGATTGGCAGCAACCCAGTAGCTGCTTGCCAAGAACTTTACTCATAGAGGGAGGGGTTGTTCCTCCGACAGATAAACCCAAACAAGATACACACAGTTCAAGAATTGTCAAGTCCAGTCCGTATTAAATCCAAGGCAGATAACGTTGTTTCAAAAATACAATGTGACTCGCTAGTAGTTTAGTTTTGTCCGTCACAGAGTCTGAATGGCCACCTCACCCCCTTTTATCCCCTGTGGGGTGTGGTCCAGTGACTCAGCTTAATCTCTGGAACGCCTCCTTTTCTGCTGCGTGCGCCTGTCTCTCCGACGCTGGCGTGGATCCAGCCAAGACTTATCTCCGTCACTGTCCGACTGCGAGGAGATACCTGGCTCCTGGCCAAGCTCTTCTCCTTTGGGAGACACCTGAGGCATTGCCAGAGAGGAGGCTCCTGGAGGGGGAGGCCTGGCCAACTCCTCTCCTTCATGTTCGGAGCCTTCTCCCTCCGATAAGTCGGCCTCGGGGGTCGGAGTCACAACAGATTGTGGGATCCTTGGTTCTTTTAGAGTTTGGTTGTTTTCTTGCAGACGTTTCATGACCCAACTAGGTAACATTATCACTGCTAGAAGGGGCTTGTATATATCAACAGAGAGCAAACCCCACTCCCTTTTGGCACTGATGATGTCAGCTAGTTGGGTCATGAAACGTCTGAAAGAAAATAACCAAGCTCAGAAAGCATCAAGGATCCCACAGTCCTCCTCCTCCTCCCCCCTTCTAGCACTGATGATGTTCCCTAGTTGGGTCATGAAACGTCTGCAAGAAAACAGCGAAGCTCAGAGAGCACCTTGTAGCCCAGATTGGGTAGCTGTCTTATGCCTATATTGGGGTGAGAGAGGGAAGCTTCAGGTACCGTAATTGTTGAGTCGCTCAGGCTTCGGAGGGTACTCCATCGGCATCCCACGCAGAATGGCTTCCATGCCAGCCTCCTGAAAGGCAAATGTGCAACAGGTAAGTCCGTTTCTGCTGGAAAGAAGACGGACGGCAATAGCTCCAGAGCCGAACTTGAAAAAATTCGTGATGGAGTCCTGCCTTAATTTTAGGTTGGTGTTTCTCAGGCTCAACAACTTTAAGATGGATGGACTTCAACTCCCAGAATGCCCCAGCCATCTGATTCCATTTTCAAAACGTGATGTCGTTAAAATCTGCACAGCCCACTCCTCAAATGTAGGAAGTTCCGGGGTAGTTTACAAACAAAAATATATCAGCAATTAAATCAGAGTCCGAAAACAGGATACAGGTAGTCCTCGACCACAACCGAGCCCCTCAATTTCCATTGCTAAGCAAGGCTGTTGCTAAGTCAATTTTGCTCCATCTTACGACCTTTCCTGCAAGCTGGTCATTTGCATCCTTTTAGAGAGTCTTGGAGGCCACTTGGAGGTTTCTCTGTGTCCTCAGGGTCACCTGAGTGGTGTAAATGGGTGTGTGGAGCCTTCATGGAACTGCTGAAACATCCTTCAGGAAACACAGCTCAACAACACAGCCCTTCCAGCAGTTCCAAGAAGGCTCCACAGCCATTTCCACCACTCAGGTGATGCTGAGGACACAGATAAACCTCCAAGTGGCCTCAACGACCCTCTAAAAGGATGCAAAGGACCAGCTGTCTTCAAGGAATGTAAATCCTTCCCTTCACCGCCATCCAGTCAGAGCTGAAGAAGCTTCTTGGATGAGAAGCGAAACGTCTTCAAAGAAAACCCAGAAAGTCCAGTTGCCTCTTGAAAAAAGCACCTTTGGGACAACCATGTCTTGGATGACCGAGAATCTCTACAGATTTTTAGCGACACAATTGGGATGAAGACCCTTGGAATGGTGTGGGAGAAGGAATGGATTTCCAGAGGAAAAAAACTGCAGACTACAGGAACCAGGAGCACCTCTCAGGTGATCCTCAGTACTACAGATAAACATCCAAGTGGCCTCAATGACCCTCTAAAACAGTGTTTCTCAACCTTGGAAGCTTGAAGATGGGTGGACTTCAACTCCCAGAATCCCCCAGCCAGCTGAAGGTTGAGAAACACTGCTCTAAAAGGATGCAAAGGACCAGCTGTCTGCAAGGAGTATCAATCCTTCCCTTCCTCACCATCCAGTCAGAGCTGAAGAAGCTCCTTTGACAAGAAGCAAAACGTCTTCAAAGAAAAAAACAAAGTCCAGTTACCTCTTGAAAAAGCACTTTTGGGACACCTGGAGCTATGCTTAAAGGACAACCAGGTGGGGAGATTTCCTATGCATCGCCTGTCCCCCCTCCCACTCCGGGATAAGATTCCCCCCTGCATCCTCAACTGTTTCTTAACCTCTTCCCCACTCCTGGAGAAAACCAGCCTTGGCATGAGTGTGGCTTACCCTGGGGATCCGTGGCAGGTACGTGGTGTATCGGTTCCAGGCTGCGCTGTTGTACGGCCCGGTCCTCCACGTTGCGTATCTGTCATTGCCGACAAACACCGGGTTGAATTTTTCTGGGTTTGGAAGAGAAAGGAGGGTTTTCAAGAAATGGGGAGGGGGGGGAAGCAGGAGACCCCAGGTAGAAGGACGGGATGGGAGTGGCACCTAAGATCTTGAGGACGGGGAAATTATTTATTTGTTTGTTTCTAAAATTATTGGCCGTCCATCTTACCATAGGTAAGTTGCAGTACATATACAGTTCAAAATATAAAAAGAGATTAAAACTCTGGGCACAAAGGGACGGTGGGGGGCAGAAAGGGGGGAGGTGGGATCTATTATTCCTCAATCAACCACCTCCATAATGCTTTGTGTTGTCCTGCTGTATTTCCCCGAAAATAAGCCCTTCCCCGAAAATAAGCCCTCCCTGAAAATATTTTGCAGCTTGGAAATGTGTCCCTGCATTAGCTCTGGTTAGGGTTAGGGAGACAGAGCTGGAAATCAGGTAAGATGGCAAGAGGATCCCCATCTTGCTCCAAAATAATAAGACCTCCCCGAAAATAAGGCCAAGCGCTTATTTCGGGGTTCAAAAAATATATAAGACAGGGTTTTATTTTTGGAGAAACACGGTAGTTGCAAGAAGACGCAGCACATACCCTGTTTCCCCGAAAATAAGACCTCCCCTGATAATAAGCCCAATTGGGCTTTTGAGTGCATGCACTAAAATAAGCCTCCTCCCCGAAAATAAACCCTCCCCCAAAAATATTTAAACGCAGAGCTGGAAATGAGGTAAGATGGTAAGAGGAGCCCCATCTTGCTCCATGCGCCCCAAAATAATAAGATAATAATAATAAGGCCAAGCACTTATTTCGGGGTTCAAAAAAATATAAGACAAGGTCTTATTATTGGGGAAACACGGTAGTTGCAAGAAGACGCAGCATACACCCTGAAAATAAGACATCCCCTGATAATTAGCCCAATTGGGCTTTTGAGCGCATGGCAATAAGGCCAAGTGCTTATTTCAGGGTTCAAAAAAATATAAGACAGGGTCTTATTTTCAGGAAAACGTGGTTGCAAGAAGACGCAGCACATAGAGGTAGTTCTCAATTTACAACTTGTTGGCTGTGGCATACTACTGCAGGCAGCCCCGCTCACATGAGTCGGGGTGTCGGCGCTCGCAGCCCAACTCGTGACAGCGGCACCCCAAAAGCTTCTCTCTTACATAAGTGGAGCTATGTGTGCGTATGCCCTGGCCCGCCACTCACGCAGCCTGGTTCCATCCCCTGCCAGGCTGCCAAGCCACCTGTTGTGGCTTGCCAGCGGCCTGCACGGATTGTTGCTCATCCCGACGATGAGGAGGCTGGTGTGGTGCTGCGCCAGCAGCCTGTGCAGCTGGCGCTTGAGTTGGACAGCGAGGAGGCTGGAGAAGATGTGGTGCTAGAGGCGGGAATTCAGCCAGGGCCTTCAGAACCTCCAGAAGCTCCCATAAGTGAAGAAGATGAAGAGGAGGAGCCTCTTCTCAATGCACGGGCGCGCAGAGCAGCCAAAAGGCAGAAGTGGCTCCTCAGGAGGAGGTCTCCTCGAGAGTAAGGCTTGGGGCTAATTGGCCACTCCCTTAGCCTATTTAAGAAGGAATGCCGACTGAAGCAATTTGCAGGGAACAACTTCGTTCACTCTCCTTCGCGTCCGGATTCTCTGCAAAATTGCTTCTGGGCTTTCTGCCAACTCCAGTAAGACTCTGACTATCTTATCTGTGGAATTCTGGCAGGCTATTAAGAATGCTTATTAACAGCCGGCATTTGCTAAAACTGCATTATTTGAGTAAACTAAGTTTTGTTCAGAGTTTGTGTGTGCTGTGTTCTTTGGGATCCGTAGCTGGGGCAAAACACCACCAACCGTTTCCTGCCTGAGCAGAGGGTTGGACTAGAAGGCCTCCAAGGTCTCTTCCAACTCTGTTATTCTGTTAGTTGCTAAGCGAGACAGTTGTTAAGAGAGTTTGAACTTTCTTATGACCTTTCTGGCCACAGTTGTTAAGCCAATCACTGCAGTTGTTGAGTTAGTCACATGACTGTTAAGTGAATCCGGCTTCCCCATTAACTTGGCTGGTCAGAAGGTGGCAAAAGGAGGATCACATGACCCCCAGGACGCTGCAACCATCCTAAATACAGGTAGTCCTCAACTTATGACCACAATGGAGTTCAACATTTCTGTTATTAGGTGAGAAACTTGTTAAGTGAGTTTTGCCCCTAACTTTTATGACCTTTCTTGACATGGTTGTTAAGTGAGTCACTGCAGTTGTTAAGTTGGTAATATGGTTGTTAAGTGAATCTGGCTTTGCTTGTCAGAAGGTCACAAAAGGGGATCAGGTGATCCCGGGACACTGCGACTGTCATAAAGATGAGTCAGTTGCCAAACGTCCAAATTTTGATCACATGACCACAAGGATGCTGCAACGGTCCTAAAGTGTGAAAAATGGTCACGGTTTTTTCAGTGGTGTTGTAACTTGGAACGGTCACTAAACGAATCGTTGTAAGTTGTTATGTCTTGTGCGTTCTTCCTTCTGCTCTTTCAGCTAAGGAAGCCGTTTCTTTCCATTTTTCGGCTGCTAAAAGTAGACGAAGATCGCCCCCAAATGTTTCATGACAACAGACTTTGAAATGTCAGCCGCAATTAGAAGAGACTGGGATCGAATGGATTCATCGCACGGCGTATCCGGATTCCGTGATTCATTAATTGCTATAATAATAGAACCTGCATAGACTTTGCTTCACCTGGAAACTCTCCAGATTCATCAGGGCTGACAAATGCTGAGAAATCCTTTTTAGCTGTGAATTCTCACCAGGGAAGAAAACTCCCAACATCTGGCCGGGCCAGAGAGCTGCAGGTACAAGGGGTTGACAACTATGGGCCTTTACAAACTGTGGACTTCAATTCCCAGAATTCCACAGCCAGCAAGGTTTGAGATGGGTGGACTTCAATTCCCAGAATTCCCCATTTGTGACCTTCTCAGCTGGCTTCCAACAAGCAAAGTCCAGTTGGATTTACTTAACAACCACTTGATTCACTTAATCGCAGTGATTCGCTTAACAACCGTGGCAATAAAAGATAGAAAAACTGGCCATGAGTCACTTAACAACCGCTTTGCTTAACAATCGAAATCCTGGTCCCAATTATAGTCGCAAGTCAAGGACTACCTCTGTCATGGTGTTGTTGTGGAGAGCTGGCAGCGGAGTCGGACAGTGAGGAGGCTGGGGAAGGCCCGGATGAGGGCTCTGCGTCAGAGCAGAGATGGGGCCAGGGCCATCTGGGAGTGATGCACAGACTCCAGAGCCCCCAGAGTCGGACAGCAGAGAGGCAGAGGAACAGGAGGAGCCTGTTCCTAATGCACGCACACACAGAGCTGCCAGAAGGCAAGAGCAGCTAAAGCAAAAGGGACGACTCGGGAGTAAAGCCAGGAGATGATTGGCCCCTCCCATAAGGCTTAAAAGAGAAACAAAGGCACTTGGGCCTTTTGCAGGAAAGCAACGTTGCTAACTCTGTTTCCAGTCGGCATCCCTTGTTTGTTTCTGAACTCCGTGGGGCTTTGCCAAATAAGGCCTTTGGCAGGGTGTCAAAGAAGATACAGATTGGTGATTATCCCGAAGGACTTCTTCCAAAGGACTTGTTTTGCAACTAATTGGGACTCAGCTGGGAATGAACGTAATTCTCAGTTGTTACAATAAAAAAGGTATGTTTGGGACTAATTGTGTATTGCAATTACTCAGCAAGCCTAGGTCACAACAGGTGTAAACAGAGGTCAAAGAAAAGGAGTTGATGACAATTTGAGTACCTTCTTCGCGGGACACCCAATATTTGTACGGCCGGTAGGCCGTTGGTTCTATCGTATTCTTGTAGGCGTACTCCTGGACTGCCCTTTTCACCATCTTCTCCAGGTGGGCTTGGTCAAGCGGATGGTCCACTTTGGGTATGGTCAAACCCTGCGGACAGGAAGGAGAGCAAGTCAGTTGGTTGACATCAGGAAGGAGACTTGGAGGAATCATTTCTGTGAGGACAACCTCTGAAGTGGGAAATGTAGACGCCTAGAATTGTAGAGTTGGCAGGACACCCTGTTTCTCCTCTACTACCCCAACATTGCTCAACCTTGGTAAATTTAACATAGACTTGGACTTCAACTCCCAGAATTCCCCAGCCACTATGTGTGGACTTCAACGCCCAGAATTCTGTTTGCTTGGTCCCACCCTCTCCGTGTTTGGAGGTCGAGTTCAATGTGTCTCAACTTTTGCAAGTTTAAGATGGGTGGGCTTCAGCTCCCAGAATCCTGCCGGCTGGTCCCACTCTCTCAATATTTGGAGGTCTAGTCCAGCATTTCTCAAACCCTGGCAAGTTTAAGATGAGTGGACTTCAACTCCCAGAAGTCCCTTGCCCTCATGTGTGGACTTCAACTCCCAGAATTCTACTGGCTGGATCCAGTGGTGAAATCCAAATTATTTTACTACCAGTTCTGTGGGCGTGGCTTGGTAGGCATGGTGTGGCTTGGTGGGCATGGCAGGGGAAGGATACTGCAAAATCTCCATTCCCACCCCACTCCAGGGGAAGGATACTGCAAAATCCCCATTTCCACGCCACTCTGGGGCTAGCCAGAGGTGGCATTTGCCAGTTCTCCAATTTCCGCTACCGGTTCTCCAGAACCTGTCAGAACCTGCTGGATTTCACCCCTGGAAGAGGGGTCTCCAAACTTGGCAACTTTAAGACCTATAGACTTCAACTCCCAGAATCCTGCCGGCTGGTCCCATTCTCTCCACATTTGGACGTCTAGTGCAGAATTTATCAAACCATGGCAAGTTTAAGATGTGTGGACTTCAGCTCCCAGAATTCCTCAGCCAGCATGGGGAATTTTAATTGCAGGACACATGGAGAGGCTTCACCATAGTTTCAACTGAATATAACATTACTAAAGAAAAAATTCTACCCTACAAGTGCCCTCCCCTCCTCTAAGGTATTCCTGCCAGGCACCTGAGGAATCAGCTGGAGAACCTAAAAGTACCAATGGAAGAGAATATTTGTAGCTCGGGAGTTGAACTGTGAGATTAACTTGCTCTAGGATTCTCATGGTTTCCTAGTTGAAGTTATGGTGAACTCTGTCCATGTGTTTGCTCAGTTTTGATCATGTCTTCTGACTTTTCATCATGTGTTCTGACTTAGAATTATAGTTTCTCAACCTAAAACTAGAGAATTGTTGGAAGCCTGGCACTCAGACAAATCAGCCATCAACAGGCACAGAGGGATAAACAACATCTACACACCATTCAAAAGAGTCAGTCGAAAAGCCAAAAAGGAAACAAAAAGACCAAAATAGCTCCTCATCAGCAATTGACATGAGCAAAGATTAACACCAAGATTAATAATAGATTGGTTTACTTCTTGAATGTTGTTCAAAAAGTAAACCTTATCACAATCCAGAGACTACCAACTCAGACCAACAATCAAACTGTAAACAACAGCTTAATCAAGCAACCATCAAACAGGGACAGCCACTTATATATAAGCAGAGAGCAAAACCTACACTCCCTTCTGGCATTGATGATGTTCTCTAGTTGGGTAATAAAATGTCTACAAGAAATGAACCAAGTTCAGAGAGCACCAAGGACTAAACAGTTCGTCTGGAGGAAAAAGATGGCCAAAAAGAAGAAAAAATGAAGGAAATCGAGAATAGACTTGGAGAGGTTAAACAAGGAACATCTGACTTAATTGGCTGGGAAACGGACAAAGCAGAATTCTATCTAAGATTCCAGAATGTCGTAGAAGAAAAAGGGGAGGATCTAGCTGAGATTATGAATACGATTCTAACCGAGGCTGTAGAAGTAACTAAAGAGAAGATGATGGAAGGAATTGATGAAATTTATCGAGTTTATACTGGATATGCGATGCATAATAAGCTTCCAGGAGACGTACACATAAGATTTACTAAGAAATCAATTAAGACACAGATTCTTCAGGCTGCTCGTGACAAGGCTTTGGAATACAAAGGGAAAGAAGTCGCAGTTATGAGACAAATTCCAAGGAAAGTGAGAGGGATAAGAAGAAAATACCAATTCTTGACCAAAGTTTTGTTGCAAAAAGGGATTAACTACAGATGGCTGTTTCCAGAAGGAATAGGCTTAACATGGCAATTCCAAAGATATAGGCTTAATACAATTGACAAGGCAAGAGCTTTCTATGAGAAAGTTCTTAAGGAGACAGATGTAGATATGGAAGTTGAAATTCAAGCAACATCAGCCCCAATAAAACCCGCTGAAGAGGAATTGATAACGCTGGAAGTAACAGAAGGAGCAGTGGGTGGAGTTATGGAATACAAGGAGCAACATGAAGCCAGATGCACTAGAGCAACAAAACCTATTTATAAAGTATGGAAGAAAGGAAACTAATTTCAATAAATATAAATGGACTTAATTCGGCCAATAAAAGAAGAACAGTTTTCCACAAATTAGAAAAACTAAAATTTGATATAATTTGCTTACAGGAAGTGCATATTAAAAAACAATATGAACAATTATTGATTCAACCAAAATTTGGCAAAACTTTTGTATCATTGGCGCAAAGTAAAAAAAAGAGGAGTTGCTCTGTATATTAGAAATACATTAACAGCTGAGCAGAAATATGCTGATTCAGAAGGCAGAATTTTGATGGAATTAATTGACAACAATACTTGAATAAAATGATATTGAAATATATCTGGCAGGGAAAAAGGCAAGAATAAAAATGAAGTTGTTACAAGATGCTAAAATGAGGGGTGGTTTTGGTTTACCTAACTTTGAACTTTATTATCAAGCAGCTAGTTTAATGTGGACTAAAGAATGGGTATCATTAAAAAATACTTGATTGTTAAATTTGGAGGGACATGATTTGTTGTTGGGATGGCATGCTTTTTTGTGGTATAAAGGAACTAAAATACAGGGGGTATTTTAGAAGACATAAAATATGTGAAGCCTTATGGTTGAATTGGGAGAAGACAAAAAAAAATAACTACTTGAAGATACCAGTCTGGGTATCTACAACTGAAGCATTTTCGTATCCAGTGACGTTTAAAGAGAAACAAATTATAAGATATAAGGAATTATTGGATGAAAAGGGTGAACTTAAATCAAAGCAAGATATAGAAGATCAAGGGTGTAAGATGGATTGGTTTTCATACACACAAATACTCTCTAGATATCGACAAGATCTTAAACAAGAAGGTTTTTATAATGAATTGACTAATTTAGACAAGATTTTGATGGGTTCTGATGATCATGTAATTAAAAAGCTATATGGTTATTTACTAGAGGTTAAATTGGAAGAAGAACAAGTTGAAGAATCAATGATAGCATGGGGGAAGAATTTTGGCTATGGTATTGATTTAGAGAAATGGCAAAAATTGTCACATAATTATAAAATGACAATGTCTACAGCATATAAGGAGAATTTGTATAAGATGTTTTACAGGTGGCATCTATCCCCGTCGAGAATAGCCAGAATGTTCCAGAATAAATCGGAGAAATGTTGGAAATGTCATCAGACCCCAGGATCCTATTACCACATGTGGTGGACATGCACAGAAGCAAGGAGATATTGGACTAAGATACACACATGGCTGGAAAAAATGATAAAGAGACATATTGACTTTAAACCAGAGATATTTTTATTAGGGATTATACCGGAGACATATAATAAAGAACTGCAATATTTAATTGCGAATATTTTGACAGCAGCTAGAATTGTATTTGCTAAAAACTGGAAAGGAGAAAAGTTACCTAATGATGAAGAAATTATTAAGAAAATGATGGAATGTGCTGAAATGAGTAAATTGACATTTGAAATAAGAGAGCAGGAAGATAAACAATACTATTTGATATGGGATTTATTTTACCAATGGATAGAGAATAAGAATTGGAAATAATTATGATATAAATGGATGTTGAAATTTTTGGAAATAAGCTAGTATGTTTAGTGATAAATTGAAGGGAGGAGGAGCACAAAAATGCCACCGACTGATACACTGTCTATAATTGTATGGAATGATAATGTTTTTATGTTTTGTTTTGTTTGTGTTTTTGAAAAATAAAAAAAAATTAACAACAACAAAAAAAAAGTCAGTCGAAAAGCCACAAAGGAAACAAAAAGACCAAAACAGCTCCTCATCTTCAAGTGACATGAGCAAAGATTAACACCAAGATTAATACTAGATTGGTTTACTTCTTGAATGTGGTTCAAGAAGTAAACCGTATCACAACCCAGAGACTAGCAACTCAGACCAGCAATCAAACTGTAAACAACAGCTTAATCAAGCAACCATCAAACAGGGACAGCCACTTATATATAAGCAGAGAGCAAAACCTACACTCCCTTCTGGCACTGATGATGTTCTCTAGTTGGGTAATAAAATGTCTACAAGAAAAGAACCAAGTTCAGAGAGCACCAAGGACTAAACAGTTCCTCCTCCTCCTCCTCCTCCTCCTCCTACTACTACTACTACTACTACTACTACTCCTACTCCTTCTTTCTGCAGACCCCCTCCCTTCTAGCACTGAAGATGTTACCTAGTTGGGTCATGAAAAGTCTGCAAGAAAACAATCAACCTCAGGAGCACCAAGGACCCTAGATTTCTATCTTCACAACCTCTCCGGGACACCCTAGAAGGACTCTCAACTCCAGAGCGACCCATAAAGCGAAGCTCTCCACTGCGAAGGAAAGGCTGCTAGGAGTCTCACAGTTGTGAAGGATTGTCAACTCTTCCAGGTAGCAAAGACCAGGGAAACCAATTCTACACGTCAGGAAGGAACTCTCGAGGTAGCTTGTGGTAATAGAATCTTGAAAGTTCTGACTGTGAATTCCCGTCGGTTCCTCTTATACCCCAGGGAGCTAGGGTGGAGCTAAGCCTTCTTTCCTTGGCTTAAAGTATGTTTGGCTAGGTGTTGTAGTAACCATCTCTGCATGGTTT